CTACAGTATTTTTACTGTCTTTATTTTACAGTTAAAACGTATGTTTATTAGATAAAGTCTAATGTTCCAACTAATCATGGATCCCTTTAAAGTCAAAACATTCTAAGATCCACTACTCGTCGTCCACAGAGGAATCCATGTCTGAATGGGGGGATTTGCTTCTCCCAATGGGACGACTTCTCGTGCACCTGCCCCGTCTACACATCAGGGCGGCGCTGCGAGGAGGTGACATGGTGCGAGCTGAGCCCCTGCCCTGCAGATGCAGAGTGCATGACGCTGCAGCACGGCTACGAATGTAGGTGACTCAGTTACACAAAGACAGGGTCATAAGGTTTTTATAAGTTTCTTCTCTTGCACAGCTTAAATGACTCAAWCTGGTTTGTTTTGACTTTATAAAAAACATGTTTTTTCCATATTTCTGACCAAGTTCTTAGTTGTGAAATATACCTTTGTAGTGTTTCCTGTAGTTACATAAAGCTGTTTGTCTGGTCAGTGCAGTAAAATAGTTGTTACCCAATCACTGACCTCGTTCTCGACAATAATTCCTGTCATTATGTGACTGGCCTCGATCTTTCCAGTTTTCTGTATCTGATTGGTAAAATAGGATTAAACTGAGGCCACTTTATCCTTTTCTGAGTGGAATTAATGATGAGTCTACTTGCTCCACTTTTCAGCAATTAAATCATTGAGGAACATCTTTCCTCCAATTTAATCCTGTTTCTCTTTCAATAAGTTTCCATCATTGTTTTGTAAAATATGATCAAATATCACAAGGTTCTGGTTGGATCGGTGCCTTTGATTTTTAAACACAGGMGCTAAAATTAGTTTGTAACTGTAAAACTTTTTTTTTCACAAAATAGTTGTGAGGAATTATATTCAGTGTGTGTCCCATTAAAATGTTGTTTTTCCTTGTAGACGTTTTATGGACTCCAGTTTTTAACAAATTTGAAACTTTTATCGAACCAATACATATTTAGTTTATTTTTTCAAACTGTTTTGTGAGCCACGAGGAACATTTTAGAAAAATATTGATGTTTTTTTTTTCTGGAATCGTCTTTCTAGTCCAGTTTTTGCTAAATGAAACAAATGGAGCTTTACAATATATTTATACACAACAAATGGTTTTAAATTAAGATAATTAATATAAACTGATAGACCTTTGTGGACTATTTGGGCATTTGGGCTTAAAGCAGTGGTTCTCAATTATTTTCTGCTCCCACCCCTAGAAAACTTATTTTTTTTCACGTCACCACTGAATTTAAATCCTTTAAAGAACCTGATAATAATTACCATAACTATTAATAGAAATTTCTGTGTAACTAATTTATAATTATACTCACCTGATAACTGT